CTTGATGATTTTAGGATGCGTTTTTGCATTTGTAGATGCTGCTTTAATTTGCTTTGCAAATTGGCAGTTATCAAAAAGCAGCACCAAACAATAATATAGGTGGTCCTCGACCTCTAACAGTCTACTTATAGAGACCGTTCAAAGTTACGACGACACTGAAAAAAAAAGAGAGAAGGAAGGAAGGAAAGAGAAAGAAAGAAAGAAAGAAAGAAAGAAAGAAAGAAAGAAAGAAAGAAAGAAAGAAAGAAAAAAGGAAGGAAGGAAGGAAGGAAGGTCACGCTTATACCTTGATGTTTCTGTTTTGACCATTAAGAAAGCTGATTTGTTATGAACTGTACCAAACTTTCTGCCCCCTACGAACAGGTTGCCATCCTCTCTGTGAGTTGTGTGTGGCAGATCTCCACACAGACCAAGGAAGCACCTGTCTCAGGTGCCGCGATGTCCATCACCTGCTTCTGAAGGACCACTGTGTGACAGACTGCCCCGCGGGATTTTACCAACTGGGAGGAGCGTGCCAGAGTGAGTAATGCTTGAGAAAACAGAGGCACTAGCAATCAACAGATTGAACATGCCAATTAATTTCCCATCAGATAAATATATTTTTCCCCCCGAACCTGTGGCATCTGCTTGTCTATGAAGTGTTAGTGATAAGATTATTCATAGGGACATTAAAAATATTGCTGTGGTAGGTCAAATCAAAAGCCTGTCTAACTGTGGAATTTCAAGGCAGGTGCCTTTATCACTAGACCAAACTGACTCTCTGTGGAATTTCAAGAGACTTTCAAAAGCTAGATAGAAAGACATCCTCACATTCTCAAGTGACGGATATCCAGAACCATCCACCCTCTGGATTGCGTATATAATCATCACGATGAATAGATATTGATGTAAATGTTATTTTAAAGCTGTCTCTAATGATTTTCTTCTATCGGTTCTGCATCTAATTACGCTGATTCCTCCTCCATCACCTGGTGTTCTTCCAATGTATTTGATAGCGGCTGCCATTAATTGACATTAATATCAGTGGATATTGCTGGCTGGGAAGGTGGAGAGGATTAGAGTCCATCAACATCTGGATGGGCCAGGTGTTCAATAATATTAATTTGTTAGTCATTTATGATGTGCTGTTGGTTTATTGCATCACTTTCTCAATCGCTGCAGAGGATGGCGGACGATTTCCATTACTGGATAAATCCCAATAAAGTAGGATTCACAGTAAGGTAGAAAGTATTATCAAGGGTTAAATGTTATTTTTCCCCCCCAAAAAATTAAGGATATTATTTTTCTGCATCGCAAAAAGGTGAGCAAATTCTCTTGAGAAATGAGCACATATCAACCATTAAATCAAGAGATTTGAACAGCTTTACCCAACTTGGCACTCATGCAATAATTCAAGGACAAATTTAGCTGGATATACTGTACTGTCTTTATTATATTCCAGGAATATAAGAGAGTCAGTTTGGTCTAGTGATAAAGGCACCTGCCTGGAAACCAGGTGTTCTAGTTCTACCGTAGGCTTGAAAGCCAGATGACTTGGGGCCAATCACCAGGAAGCGGTGAGTTCTAGACCCACTTTAGGCATGAAAGCCAGGTGATTTTGGGCCAATCACCAGGAAACGTTGAGTTCTAATCCCACCTTAGGCATAAAAGCCAGGTAATTTTGGGCGAATCACCAGGAAGCGTTGAGTTCTAATCCCGCTTTAGGCATAAAAACCAGGTGACTTTGGGCCAATCACCAGGAAGCGGTGAGTTCTAGTCCCACCTTAGGCATGAAAGCCAGCTGGGTGACTGAGCCAATCACCCGGAGACTGTGAGTTCTAGTCCTGCCGTAGGCATGAAAGCCAGCTGGGTGTCTTTGGGACAATCACTTTCTCTCAGTCAAATTCACCTCACAGGGTTGCTGTTTTGGGGAAAATAGGAGAGGAAAGTATGTCGGATACATTTGTTGCCTTGAGTTATTTTTAAAATAATAATGGCGGGATGCAAATAAATAAATATAAAGAGGTGACTTTCCTCTTCCAAGACTTCCTCTTATCTCTAGCTCTCAGCACATCTACTGACAGTTTACATTCTTTGCATTCCTGTTAACCCATTCAATGACCTCCAGTTGAACTGTTCCAGCCACAATCTGAGCCCTGCAATGCATTGGGGTCTGCAGCCCACAGAATGTTTTTTTAAATAGTTTTTTATTTTATTTTATAACATATAAAGATTCCATTTTTAGTTAAACTGTTGGCTGGGTACAAATATTTTTAGGAAACAATAATCAAAATGTTTACAACAATATTCATTACCTTGGTAACGAATTACCCTAGTTCTATAATAATAACACTAATAATAGTTGCTTATCCATTTTAACAAACCTCCCTTATATCATGTCCTTTTCTTTCATCTACATGTTTCTAACTTCTGTTTTTATTAGCTATAGCTCACAGAATGTTTTTCTTGAGCCACGTTGACCAGGAATTCTGGACCCTGTAGTCGCAACACAGCTAGAGGGAATTAAATTGGAAAAATTTGGGCTGAAGATCACTCCTTTCATGTACGAATGGTTGCATCGGAGTGATGGGTAGTACTCAACAGGGTGTCCTCGACTTACAACTGGCCATTTAGCGACCGTCCAAAGTTACGACAAGCACCCACCCCCCTCCAAAGCTACTTACAGATTTGAAGTTCCGGTATCAGCCCTGCCCAGATCACATGACCACATTTATGGTTGCTTGCAGTGCCCTGCAGCCATATGACTACGATTTATAACATTTTGTCTGGAAATTTATTTCCAGTTTCCAGCAAACACTGCCTCATAGACACCGCTGAGTTCACATAATGACTGCAGCATTTGATTTACAACAGCTATGTTTGCTTAGCAAACACTGTAAAAAAAAAAGGAAAGGAAAGGAAACAGAAAACAACAACTGAATGAAAAGTTGCTGATGACCTTCTACCGCTGCACCATAGAGAGTATCTTAACTTACTGCTCCTCTGTATGGTTTGCCAATTGCACAGGGGCAGATAGGAAAGCACTCCAGAGGGTTAATGTCATTGCCCAGAAGATCATGGGTTGCCCTCTCCCCTCTTTGGAAGAGCTTTATAGCTCCCGCTGCCTTAAGAAAGTTCAAAATATTCTCAAAGATCCGTCTCATCCTGGGCACCCCCTTTTTTTGAACAACTACCATCTGGCGGATGGTACAGAATAATAAAAACAAGGAGAAATAGGCTGAAAAACAGCTTTTATCCCAGGTCAGTAGTTCTTTTGAATTCTACTGTATAGTGCAGTGTTGGTATGGTGTCAGGGGTTTTCGGTTCAATGTGTGGAGGGTGAAGGATGTGTGTTTGTGTTTATTTTCATGGTCATGATGTGCACTGAAGATGGTGTTTGGTTTCGTTGTACGAGGTGCAATGCTAATAAATTAAACTAAACTAAATTAAACTAAACTAAACTAAAAGGGTTGTAAAATCAGGTCTGGTTACATGATGGCCCTCTTTGTAACCCTCACTTCTTACAACCATAATTGTGGAGTTTCATTACGGTCGTAATTTGAGGACTACCCGTATAACAGGAGGAAAGATTATTAGGTATGTTCACCGCCTTGAGTTATTTCTAAAAATAAGAAAGGCAGGATAAAAATAAGTAAATAAATAAACATGCTTTTCATTCAGGCAGGATCCAAGCAAACACCTGGGGAAATTGGCAGCATTTTAAAGGAAGATAATTGAGAATCTGAAAGCTGCATTATCTTTTCCTCTGTTCTTATTCTCACTGCCAGCCGAGGTGATAAGAGTGAACTGAGACATTTGTAATCACCGATTGGGCAGAAACTACATAATGTATTGGGTGAAACTGTAATTAATAATTATCCAATTAACCCAAGATAGTGTTAAGGAGAATAGAAGCAGAGCCAGACAGAATTGGCTGTCTATTCTGTAATAACAATAATTGTTATTGTTGATAGATTTTGTGTTCTACCTTCTAAGGGAGCAAGATAATGGCACACAGGGATGTACAGATAGTCCTTGACCTATGACCATAATGGATTTCTATTTCTATTACTAAGTGAGACAGTTGTTCATTCATTCATTCATTCATTCATTCATTCATTCATTCATTCATCCATCCATCCATCCATCCATCCATCCATCCATCCATCCATCCATCCATCCATCCATCCATCCATCCATCCAT